GGGTGATGGAAAGCTGGAGAATGGGGCGGGGTGATGGAAAGTGCCAGTATGGGGCGGGGTGATGGAAAGCGGGAGTATGGGGCGGGGTGATGGAAAGCGGCAGAATGGGGCGGGGTGATGGAAGGAGGCAGAATGGGGCGGGGTGATGGAAGGAGGCAGAATGGGGCGGGGTGATGGAATGCCACATATACTAGCTAGTCTAAAATGGTACATACATTATAATATGTAGTAGTTCTAGTAAATGCAGATCCGCCATTGAGTCGTTGCGCTGTTGCGATTTATTACATCGTATGTCATCATTGCACCGTCGGATCGTTGCGCCGTTGCGTTGTTGCCTCGTTGCGTCGTTGCGTCGCTGCGTCGCTCAATCATTACGCTGCTTGATCGTTGCGCCATTGCGTTGTAGCGATTTATTACATCCATAAGCTAGCTAAATCTACTAGGTTATCAATTTTTTTTCTCTTTAGAATAGCTTTTTTAGTTTTATTATGATTTTCTATGATCTCGTTGAACAATCTATTTTCAGAATAATTGGTTTCAATCATTTTAACGGATTAATGAAGGAGTTTATTTGTAATCTACATATATTTTTTAACGGTTTTACATTCTCACGATGTCAATCACGATGCTCACGATGCTAGTCACGATGCTCGCTAGTCACGATGCTCGCTGGTCACGATGCTCGCTGGTCACGATGCTCGCTAATCACGATGCTCGCTGGTCACGATGCTCGCTAGTCACGATGCTCGCTTGTAACGATGCTCGCTAGTCACGATGCTCGCTAATCACGATGCTCGCTGGTCACGATGCTCGCTAGTCACGATGCTCGCTAGTCACGATGCTCGGTAGTCACGATGCTCGATTGTCACGATATTACAATGTTCCAATATTATTACAATGTGCCACATATACTAGCTATTTTTTAAAATGGTACATACACAATAATACGTAGTAGTTCTAGTAAATGCAGAACCGCCATTGAGTCGTTGTGCTGTTGCGATTTATTACATCGTATGTCCTCGTTGCACCGTCGGATCGTTGCGTCGTTGTGACGTTGCCTCGCTGCGTCGTTACGTCGCTGCGTCGCTCAATCATTACGCCGCTCGATCGTTGCGCCATTGCGTTGTAGCGATTTATTACATTCATACGCTAGCTTAATCTACTAGGTTATCATTTTTTTCTATCTTTAGAATACATTTTTTATTAATATTATATTTTTCTATGATCTCATTGAACTATCTATTTTCAAAATAATTGGTTTCAATAATTTTAACGGATTGATGAAGGAATTTACTTGAAATTTACTTATACCTCTTAACGGTTTTACATTCTCACGATGTCAATCACGATGCTCACGATGCTAGTCACGATGCTCGCTAGTCACGATGCTCGTTTGTCACGATGTTCGCTAGTCATGATGCTCGCTGGTCACGATGCTCGCTGGTCACGATGCTCGCTAATCACGATGCTCGCTGGTCACGATGCTCGCTAGTCACGATGCTCGCTAGGCAAGATGATCGCTAGTCATGATGCTCGCTGGTCACGATGCTCGCTGGTCACGATGCTCGGTAGTCACGATGCTCGCTGGTCACGATGCTCGCTAGTCACGATGCTCGATTGTCATGATATTACAATGTTTCTTCATTATTACAATGTGCCACATATACTAGCTAGTTCAAAATGGTACATACATTATAATAAGTAGTACTCGCGAATGAAGTGCGCCCGCTGCACTTCGTGCACATGTGCGGATCCTTCCGCGTTTTGGGGGTAGAAGCGCTCATTCCAAGCGATTTTTTTCCGCCAAGTCACGTGGTTGCACTTGTCTGGTCCTCTTGCAAAGCTAGCAAGGGCGTGGGAGGGTTGCGAGCATCATCGGTCATTGGCGCTCGCAAATGAAGAGCGCCCGCTGCACTTTGTGCACATGTGCGGATCCTTCCGCGTTTTGGGGGTGAAAGCGATCGATCCGAGCGTTTTTCTTCCGCGGGGTCACGTGGTTGCGCTTGTCTGGTCCTCTTGCCAAGCCAGCAAGAGCGTGGGAGGGTTGCGAGCATCATCGATCATCGGCGCTCGCAAATAAAGAGCGCCCGCTGCACTTCCTGCACGAATGCGGATCCTTCATTATTTTGGGGGTAGAAGCGCTCATTCCAAGCGTTTTTCTTCCGCCAAGTCATGTGGCTGCGCTTATCTGGTCCTCTTGCCAAGCCAGCAAGGGCATGGGAGGGTTGCGAGCATCATCGGTCATCGGCGCTTGCAAATGAAGAGCGTCCGCTGCACTTCCTGCACGAATGCGGATCCTTCAGCATTTTGGGGGTAGAAAGCTCATTCCAAGTGATTTTCTTTCGCCGGGTCACGTGGTTGCGCTTGTCTGGTCCTCTTGCCAAGCCAGCAAGGGCGTAGAAGGGTTGCGAGCATCATTGGTCATCGGAGCTCGCAAATGAAGAGCGCCCGCTGCACTTCCTGCACGAATGCGGATCCTTCAGCATTTTGGGGGTAGAAGCGCTCATTCCAAGCGTTTTTCTTCCGCCAAGTCACGTGGCTGCGCTTGTCTGGTCCTCTTGCCAAGCCAGCAAGGGCGTGAAAGGGTTGCGAGCATCATTGGTCATCGGCCCTTGAGAATGAAGAGCGCCCGCTGCACTTCCTCCACATGTGCGGATCCTTCCGCGTTTTTGGGGTACTAGCGCTCGTTCCGAGCGATTTTCTTCCAACAGATCACGTGGCTGTGCTTGTCTGGTCCTCTTGCCAAGCTAGCAAGGGCGTGGAAGTGTTGCGGGCATCATCGGTCATCGGCGCTCGCAAATGAAGAGCGTCCGCTGCACTTCGTGCACATGTGCGGATCCTTCCGCGTTTTGGGGCTAGAAGCGCTCATTCCAAGCGATTTTCTTCCGCCGGGTCACGTGGTTGCGCTTGTCTGGTCCTCTTGCCAAGCCAGCAGGGGCGTGGGAGGGTTGCGAACATCATCGATCATCGGCGCTCGCGAATGAAGAGCACCCGCTGCACTTCCTGCACATGTGCGGATCCTTCAGCATTTTGGGGGTAGAAGCGCTCATTCCAAGCGTTTCCCTTCCGCCAAGTCACGTGGCTGTGCTTGTTTGGTCCTCTTGCCAAGCCAGCAAGGGCGTGGGAGGGTTGCGAGCATCATCGGTCATCGGCGCTCGCAAATGAAGAGCGCCCGCTGCACTTCCTGCACGAATGCGGATCCTTCAGCATTTTGGGGGTAGAAGCGCTCATTCCAAGCGTTTTTCTTTCGCCAAGTCACGTGGTTGCGTTAGTCTGGTCCTCTTGCCAAGCCAGCAAGGGCGTGAGAGGGTTGCGAGCATCATCGGTCATCAGCGCTCGCGAATGAAGAGCGCCCGCTGCACTTCCTGCACAAGTGCGGATTCTTCCGCGTTTTGGTGGTAGAAGCGCTCATTCCAAGCGATTTTCTTCCGCCGGGTCACATGGCTGCGTTTGTCTGGTCCTCTTGCCAAGCCAGCAAGGGCGTGGAAGGGTTGCGAGCATCATCGGTCATCGGCGCTCGCGAATGAAGAGCGCCCGCTGCACTTCCTGCACGAATGCGGATCCTTCAGCATTTTGGGGGTAGAAGCGCTCATTCCAAGCGATTTTCTTCCGCCGGGTCACGTGGCTTCGCTTGTCTGGTCCTCTTGCCAAGCTAGCAAGGGCGTGGAAGGGTTGCGAGCATCATCAATCAACGGCGCTCGCGAATGAAGAGCGCCCGCTGCAGTTCCTGCACATGTGCGGATCCTTCCACGTTTTGGGGGTATAAGCGCTCATTCGAAGCGTTTTTTTCCCAACCGATCACGTGGATGCGCTTGTCTGGTCCTCTTGCCAAGCCAGCAAGGGTGTGGGAGGGTTGCAAGCATCATCGGTCATCGGCGCTCGCAAATGAAGAGCGCCCGCTGCACTTCCTGCACATCTGCGGATCCTTCCGCATTTTGGGGCTGAAAGCGCTCGTTACGAGCGTTTTTCTTCCACCGGGTCACGTGGCTGTGCTTGTCTGGGCCTATTACCAAACCAGCAAGGGCGCGGGAGGGTTGGGAGCATCATCGGTCATTGGAGCTTTCGAATGAAGAGCGCCCGCTGCACTTCCTGCACATGTGCGGATCCTTCCGCGTTGTGGCAGCGGAAACGCTCGTTTCAGCACTTCCGAGCGGTGTGCGGATGAGGTTGGTACGTGCGGGGGAGGGTTGTGTGTGCAGGGGAGGGTGCCACTTTGCGCCCCGGGGTGCCAGTCAGGCCTACACTTGCCGGTAGGGTAAAATAATAGTTATCTTGAAAAATTCAGTGAAAAAAAATATATTTTTAGGCTGTTGGTGGCAAGTTTGGTACACTGTCTTCTGTTGATTATATCACCTCGAAATGGCTCAGCTAGTCAGCAGGGTACCGGTAAGAGGTCTTTAACACTACTGATTTACACAGGGCAAACAAAAAGTGCACTTTTTAAATCAGGGTGGCAAAGCCTTTACAGTATGGAGGTGTCAGAGCAAACCCCAACAAGGGGCCAAAAATGGGTAAAATGGGTATTTTGCCCTTATTTTTTTTGGATAGTGGAATGCGAAAGGTCAAGACCACTGTGTACCCTACTCTTGACCCAGCTGCCAGCTAGGTACAGTCAATTCTGTGAGGACGCAGAGTATTCAAACAAAAGTCGTTTCTCAACGGAGGACAAGGATGAGAAGAGAAGACGCAAGCGGGAGTTGAGTTGGTATAGCAGTTTCCATTGGGTTGCCATCTCACTCTCGCGTAGCTGCCGCACCACAGATGCCTGGGGAAACCACAGAAAAGGTCATGTTTGAGGCAAAGGCTCGCTCATATGCACACATGCCCATGGTGTGCATCTGTTTAGGTGCAGTGGCAATCTATGCCATGGCGTGCCTGCAGGCATAAAGTGCATAGCATGGCAGTGTGCATGTTTATGTATGAGCGATACATAGTAACACATGACACAGGTAGTGAGCGTTGGTATGATGCATGTCTTCAATGGTGCATATGTCCATGATGCATGTCAGAACGATGCATCTCAAGGTGGGATATGACCCAATTGTGCATGTCACACAATGCCACAAAAATGTTGACTTGATGACTCATGTCACTGTGATGTGTGTAGCAACGATGCATGTCACTATGATGTGTGTCGCAGTGATGCATGTCACAGTGATGCATTTCACAATGGCACAATGATGCAGGTCCCTTTGATGCTTGTCCCAGTGATGCGTGTCACAGTGATGCATGTCACAACAACAATGCGTGTCACTATGCCAGAACGATGCATTTCACATGCATGTAAGATCCATGTATCCCAGCCCACCCGTTGAGCACCTGAAGGTTGTTGCCGATTTGGATTTCCACCTCGGCGCCGAAGGAGAGGTTGGCGAGGGACTGGAAGGGGTCGGAGGTGGGGTCCAGCGAGAGCAGGTTCGGGATCTGCGGCGCGCTCACCAGGCGCCACCGCGCCTGCCCGAACTGCCCGCGGCTCTCGATCTTGGGCATGAGGGTCTCCACGGTGGCGGCCGCCAGCTTCTTGAGCGCCAGCTGGCCGTCCTTCTCCAGCAGCGACTCCGCCAGCTGGCTCTCAAACAGCCGCGCCGCCTCGGCGGGCGACAGCACGTCCTCCTCGCCGCCGCGCGGCAGCGTGGTGAGCACCACGTGGTCCTGCCAGCGGTTGGCCGGGCCCTGGATGCGCATCTGCCAGTCCGCCCCCACCAGCTTCAGGTCCAGCAGCGGGTCCATGCCCAGCGCCGCCTCAAAGCGCGCACAGTTGGGGTGGTCGCGGTTCAGCCGCAGCTGCACATGACACACGCGGCACAGGGGTATGGGCAGGTCCGGTGTGACAAGGGAGCATAGTGAGGCATGAGAAGGGAGGATGGCAAAGGGGCATGAGAAGGAAGAATGGCGGGGAGGCAGGAGAGGGGGGTGGGACCTGGGTGGCAGGAGAGGGGGGTGGGACCTGGGTGGCAGGAGAGGGGGGTGGGACCTGGGTGGCAGGAGAGGGGGGTGGGACCTGGGTGGCAGGAGAGGGGGGTGGGACCTGGGTGGCAGGAGAGGGGGTGGGACCTGGGTGGCAGGAGAGGGGGGTGGGACCTGGGTGGCAGGAGAGGGGGGTGGGACCTGGGTGGCAGGAGAGGGGGGTGGGACCTGGGTGGCAGGAGAGGGGGGTGGGACCTGGGTGGCAGGAGAGGGGGGTGGGACCTGGGTGGCAGGAGAGGGGGGTGGGACCTGGGTGGCAGGAGAGGGGGGTGGGACCTGGGTGGCAGGAGAGGGGGGTGGGACCTGGGTGGCAGGAGAGGGGGGTGGGACCTGGGTGGCAGGAGAGGGGGGTGGGACCTGGGTGGCAGGAGAGGGGGGTGGGACCTGGGTGGCAGGAGAGGGGGGTGGGACCTGGGTGGCAGGAGAGGGGGGTGGGACCTGGGTGGCAGGAGAGGGGGGTGGGACCTGGGTGGCAGGAGAGGGGGGTGGGACCTGGGTGGCAGGAGAGGGGGGTGGGACCTGGGTGGCAGGAGAGGGGGGTGGGACCTGGGTGGCAGGAGAGGGGGGTGGGACCTGGGTGGCAGGAGAGGGGGGTGGGACCTGGGTGGCAGGAGAGGGGGGTGGGACCTGGGTGGCAGGAGAGGGGGGTGGGACCTGGGTGGCAGGAGAGGGGGGTGGGACCTGGGTGGCAGGAGAGGGGGGTGGGACCTGGGTGGCAGGAGAGGGGGGTGGGACCTGGGTGGCAGGAGAGGGGGGTGGGACCTGGGTGGCAGGAGAGGGGGGTGGGACCTGGGTGGCAGGAGAGGGGGGTGGGACCTGGGTGGCAGGAGAGGGGGGTGGGACCTGGGTGGCAGGAGAGGGGGGTGGGACCTGGGTGGCAGGAGAGGGGGGTGGGACCTGGGTGGCAGGAGAGGGGGGTGGGACCTGGGTGGCAGGAGAGGGGGGTGGGACCTGGGTGGCAGGAGAGGGGGGTGGGACCTGGGTGGCAGGAGAGGGGGGTGGGACCTGGGTGGCAGGAGAGGGGGGTGGGACCTGGGTGGCAGGAGAGGGGGGTGGGACCTGGGTGGCAGGAGAGGGGGGTGGGACCTGGGTGGCAGGAGAGGGGGGTGGGACCTGGGTGGCAGGAGAGGGGGGTGGGACCTGGGTGGCAGGAGAGGGGGGTGGGACCTGGGTGGCAGGAGAGGGGGGTGGGACCTGGGTGGCAGGAGAGGGGGGTGGGACCTGGGTGGCAGGAGAGGGGGGTGGGACCTGGGTGGCAGGAGAGGGGGGTGGGACCTGGGTGGCAGGAGAGGGGGGTGGGACCTGGGTGGCAGGAGAGGGGGGTGGGACCTGGGTGGCAGGAGAGGGGGGTGGGACCTGGGTGGCAGGAGAGGGGGGTGGGACCTGGGTGGCAGGAGAGGGGGGTGGGACCTGGGTGGCAGGAGAGGGGGGTGGGACCTGGGTGGCAGGAGAGGGGGGTGGGACCTGGGTGGCAGGAGAGGGGGGTGGGACCTGGGTGGCAGGAGAGGGGGGTGGGACCTGGGTGGCAGGAGAGGGGGGTGGGACCTGGGTGGCAGGAGAGGGGGGTGGGACCTGGGTGGCAGGAGAGGGGGGTGGGACCTGGGTGGCAGGAGAGGGGGGTGGGACCTGGGTGGCAGGAGAGGGGGGTGGGACCTGGGTGGCAGGAGAGGGGGGTGGGACCTGGGTGGCAGGAGAGGGGGGTGGGACCTGGGTGGCAGGAGAGGGGGGTGGGACCTGGGTGGCAGGAGAGGGGGTGGGACCTGGGTGGCAGGAGAGGGGGGTGGGACCTGGGTGGCAGGAGAGGGGGGTGGGACCTGGGTGGCAGGAGAGGGGGGTGGGACCTGGGTGGCAGGAGAGGGGGGTGGGACCTGGGTGGCAGGAGAGGGGGGTGGGACCTGGGTGGCAGGAGAGGGGGGTGGGACCTGGGTGGCAGGAGAGGGGGGTGGGACCTGGGTGGCAGGAGAGGGGGGTGGGACCTGGGTGGCAGGAGAGGGGGGTGGGACCTGGGTGGCAGGAGAGGGGGGTGGGACCTGGGTGGCAGGAGAGGGGGGTGGGACCTGGGTGGCAGGAGAGGGGGGTGGGACCTGGGTGGCAGGAGAGGGGGGTGGGACCTGGGTGGCAGGAGAGGGGGGTGGGACCTGGGTGGCAGGAGAGGGGGGTGGGACCTGGGTGGCAGGAGAGGGGGGTGGGACCTGGGTGGCAGGAGAGGGGGGTGGGACCTGGGTGGCAGGAGAGGGGGGTGGGACCTGGGTGGCAGGAGAGGGGGGTGGGACCTGGGTGGCAGGAGAGGGGGGTGGGACCTGGGTGGCAGGAGAGGGGGGTGGGACCTGGGTGGCAGGAGAGGGGGGTGGGACCTGGGTGGCAGGAGAGGGGGGTGGGACCTGGGTGGCAGGAGAGGGGGGTGGGACCTGGGTGGCAGGAGAGGGGGGTGGGACCTGGGTGGCAGGAGAGGGGGGTGGGACCTGGGTGGCAGGAGAGGGGGGTGGGACCTGGGTGGCAGGAGAGGGGGGTGGGACCTGGGTGGCAACGAGGTTGACTTCGCCGTTCTCGAAGAAGAGTGTGCCGGAGGGGCGCACGAGGCGTGGGTCGGCGAAGCCATTGAGGTGCAGGTCGCCGCGCGTGGCGAGGTTGAGGATGAGCGGGTACACCACGCGCAGCTCCGGCCCCAGCGCCACCTGCAGCCCCCGCAGCCGCACCAGCGCTGCCGGCGCCGATGGCGCAGACGCGAGGTCAGGGGGTGCTGGCAGCGGCACAGGCGGCACTGCTGTAGTGGCAGCAGAGGCGGCGGTGGCAGTGGTGGCAGATAGCGGCGATGACGTGCTCTCTGATGGCCGTGATGGCAGGAAGATATGTAGGGAGGGACGTGAAGAAGAACACAATGCATGGGAAAGTGGAGGAAGAGGGCACACATGACTGAGGGAAGTTAGTTGGGAACGAGCAAACAAGGCAGTGAAGCAAGTGAGGCAGGAGAGTGGCGTGTAGGCCAAAAGAGGACTGAGCCAGTCGGTTAAAATTGGTGCAGGGGATGGCGGAAGTGGAGGGAGTGGGAAGGGCGCACCTTGCTGTGGCGCTGACGCCGGCAGCTTCATGGCTGAAGATGATGCCGTGGAGGACATCGCCGGCAGCCAATCAGGTGCTGCTGACTTGCCAGGAGGGGCACTGGAGGGAGCAGCAGAGAGTGCAGGTGTCTTGCGGCGGTGGGAGGGCAGCAGCGAGGAGGGCACGGAGGGGGAGGGGGGGGTGTCGGCCCGGTCCTTCTCCTGCGACAGGTACGCGATGCCGCGTGACAGCCGGATGGCTCCTGTCACCTCAGGGGCGGCCAGGCTGCCCATCACACTCACGCCCGCATCCACCAGACCACTGCAACCACACACGCACACACAACACAATGGGGCACCGTCAGAGATCCGTTGCTGACAGGCACAGGTTCAAACTCCACACTGCAAACGCTGACACAAGAACAGTCCAGCAAAATTCCAGTGACAGACGGGTGAGGGCCCACCTGAACACATTGCGTGCTCGCACTTCAAGACCCTCTGCCGTGATGTTGATCCCCTCCCCACCCTTGCTGTCCTGTGCATGCTCACCCCCTTCCCTCCCACTCCCCCTCTTCCCCTTGCTTCCCCTCCTCAACCCGCCAAGTATCTCCTCCCCTTCCCCTTCCGCCCCCTCACCCCCCCCCTCGTGTGCGGGCAGGCCGAGGGGCAGAGAGCCCTCGACACGCAGGGTGCCGCGGCGCCCCACGCGCCCCTCGAGCCCGTCCACCAGCAGCTGCTGCGCTGCGATGCGGATGCGCCCCCCCCCGCCCGTGAGTGGGCGCGGCAGCACGGGGGACGACGCCGTCACACGGCTGAACACCGCCTCCGCCGCCACCTCTGGCCGCGCCACCGTGCCTCTCACCTGCCACCCGCACAGCACATAGAGAGAGAGGCGCAGGGAAGAGAGAGGCATGGGGAGAGACGTGTGGGTGCAGAATTATGACAAGTCAAAGCAAGAATGCTGAAGTCACTATAAGACTGGCCTGAGCAGAGATGGCGGCACACACCTGAGCAGAGATGGCAGCACACACCTGAGCAGAGATGGCGGCGTGGCCGTGGATCCAGCGGAAGGAGGGGGAGAGCGCGGTGAGCAGCATCATGCCAGCGTCCTGCACACTGGCCTCCACCTGCATCTGCTCCGCCTGCTCCTCGCCCTCAAACGCCCGCTCCAGCTCCACCAGGCTGCGCAGCAGCTCCGGCCCCTTCTGCGCACCCTCCCCCTCCCCTTCCCCCTCCTCCTCCTCTTCCTCCTCCTCCTCTTCCTCCTTCTTGACCTTCTCCTCAGCCTCGCCACCATCGCCACTCCCCGTGCCGTTGCTCCACAGCCCGCCCTCCTTGTCCAGCCAGTCCCAGTCATGCCACAGCCGGCTGCCCTCCCGCGCTGCACCGCCGCCTTCCTTCTTCTGTGTCGCATCCACACCCGCCTTCTGCTTCTTCTCGCCTGCCTTGCCCCTCCGCTTCTCCTGCACTCTGCCTCCACCAGAAACTACCATCCTCCCTCCTCCACCGCCCATGTCCCTGCCTGCGCCCTGCACCTCCTGCCCTGCCTGAGCCGCCTGCCCTGCATGCCCAGCCTGCAGCGGTGGCAGCGGCACGTTGCCCTTGATGCGCACCTGGCCGGCGTCCACTGCGGGCTCCAGCACCGCGTGGAAGAGCAGCCGCGACGCCCTCGTCAGCGACGCCGCCACCTCCGCCCGCCCCAGCGCCACCCCCGCTATCTCCCCGTCCAGCAGCCGCAGCTGCCACCGCAAAGGGGCGGGAGGGGAGGGGGGGGGGGGGGAGGCAGCAGGGGAGTGAGACGAGCAGAGACCACTCAAGAAGGACGGACGAACAAGGCAGCAAGTGGAGCGGGAACATGCAGAGTGTGCGGTGGAGCACATGGCACCACGGTAGGCTAGGTGCAGCATTGGAGTGCGTGCACCCACCTGCACGTCGCACTGCGGCTGGGCGAAGGAGCCCGACAGGTCGCCCTCCACGTGCACCACGCCCCTCACTGCCGCCTGCTGCACGCCCACGGGGGGCGGGGGGGGGAACGGCGCACCAGAGGCAGCAGCAGCAGCGGAGGACTGGGAGGGTGCAGCGGCGTGGAGGGCTTGCAGGAAGGTGGGGACGAGGTGGGCGGGGAAGTTGAGCAGCGCGAAGTGCAGGCTGGGCGCGGGGCCAAACACAGTGCCGTCCGCATGCACCGTGGCACCGTCGTCCTTCTGCAGCAGCAGCCGCTCCACCTGCAGCCCCCCCGTGTTGCTGTACCGCCCCCGCGCCTGCAGCTGCTGCAGGCGGTACCTGCCCGCCTCCCAGTCGCTGCCGTGCACGTCGAACGACGCCGACGTGTCGCCGTTGCCGCCCCCACTGGCCTCCAGCACCCCGTGCCAGCGACCCCGCAGGTCCACCAGCCCTGGCAGCGCCTCCGCTGCCAACCCCCCGCCCACGTCCGTGCCCGCTGGCTCCCACTCGCGCTCCCTCTTCTCCCGCACATACTGCTCCCACCCACCCACACAGCCGCAGCGCGGCAGGGAACAAGGTACGGATCAACGCGTGAGACGGGCGTCGACAGAGATGGAAGCGCGTGGTGGGTGGGGCACAGGTGTGATGGTGGGAGCGGGGTGAAGACAAGGAGTGGAGAGTAAGGAGTGGAGAGCACGGAGTGGAGGGAGAAGAACGCACAGCGACATGACAAGCAAAATCATCTCCGAAGCAGACAGGCGCTAGCCAGTTGAATGTGGGCGGGTGGGTGGCGGGCAGAGGCCGCACCTCGAGCTGGTGCTGCAGGGAGTGGGAGGAGAAGCCAACGTCCTCGATGCCGTGCAGGAAGAGCTCCTTGGAGCGCAGCAGCACGGCCGGGTCGTGGCTGCGCGACAGAATGCGCAGCCCCGGCAGCATCTCGCTCACGTCAGCGTGCGGCACGTCGAGGCGCAAGCGCCAGCGGCCGATGGACGTCATCATGGCCTGCAGCTGCCCCCGCATCGCCCCCTGCCGCCCGCCCCCGCCCCACTCCGTGTCCACGCCACGCTCCGAGGCCGCGGCAGCCGCAGTGGCAGCAGCGTCGGGGGTGGGCGTGGAGGCTGAGTGGGAGGAGGTGGTTCTGTCCCTGTCGCGCTCCCTGTCCCACTCCCTCATCCCCGGCAGCACATACTCCCCCTGCACCTCGTACCGGCTGTTTGCCTGCTCCAGCACCGACCGTTCCAGAGTCACCTGCCAAAGCACATGCACATACATGCACACACAATGGGTCAGATGCACAGGTCATGCACACAGATTCACAATGAGTCAGATTCACAGGTCATGCAACAAGCGCAAAGGACAGCACAGCATAGCACTCTGCTTCCCCTCCCCTTCTCCCATCCTCACCACGTCGCCGGTCCAGCGGAAGGCAGCATGCAGGGCGTCACAGAGCATGCCGCTGAAGCGCGGGCGCCGCACTGCGAGGGAGCCGTGGCCGCGGCGCTTGGCGAAGTTGAGGCGCACAGCGGCGCGCTCCACCAGCCCGCGCAGCGACGCCAGCTCCAACTCGTCCAGCGGCAGCGCCCTCACCTCCAGCGCTGCTGTCGCCCCCACGCGCACATGCCCCTCCACACTCATCTGCCCCCGCTGCACCCTCACCGCCCCCCCCGCTACGCCCCCTACACCGCCGCCCGCACTGCTTGATGCTGGTGCAGCAGCTCCCACATCGAAGAGAGGGAAGGCCGCCTCGGAGGCCTGCGCCTGTGGCATGTAGGACGACGAGGCATGCGGGATTGTAGGGACAGCTGGCAGCACGCCATTAGCTGAGAGCTGCAGAATGAGCTGCTCATCGCCGCGGCCCACAGTGTGCAGGTTGAAGCCATGGGGACTCACAGCCACGCCGCCTGACAGGTTCGCCCCCAGCAGCAGCTGGTTCAGCTTCAGCCCTTGAATGAGCACACTCCCCTCCAGCCCTGGCAGCCCCGCCTCTGCCTCCTGCCTCGCTCCTCCATCCCCCCCTGCCTCGTCCACCGCCCCTGGCTGCACCTCGCTGCCCCACGGCACGCGCGCTGACAGCTTGAAGCGCCCCGACAGCCGCAGGTGCCGCAGGGAGGGCTGCGGGGGCGGCACGGGCACGGGGACAGCGGGCAGCAGCGCGAGGGCGTCGAAGGCCCTCAGGCGCGACTCTGCCTCCACACGCTCCACCCGCGGGCGCGGAGGCAGCGGGGGCAGCTCCCTCGACAGCACCGGCCACGGGCGAGCAGCACCGCGGGGAGGGCGCGGGGGGGTGGGGCAGGGAGGAGGGGCGGAGACGGAGGCGGAGAGGAGGAGGTCGAGGGCGTGCGCGTGGGTGGCGGCGTGGGCTGTGTCCCTCGTGAGCGCCACCGACCCCCTCATCCCCTCCAATGGGCCCCTCGCCTGCGGTGCCTTCCATGCCGCCTCCACCGTGCTGTGGTGGTGGGGTGGGGTAGGGTGGGGGTCAGAATGGATTGGACGAAAGGAGGGGGCCGAGATCGGGTGTGCGGTGACAGCGGGAAGCAAGGAGAGGAGAATGAGTGAAAGAGCAGGAGCTTGGGAAACCAGATAGCGGCTCAAGATATATTACGGCAAACCAGGGCAGGGGGAGGCAGAGCAGGACAGAGGTAGGCATACGGGGAGAGCAGGGAGCCTCTGAAGGCGGCTTCGCCTGAGGCGAGGCCGAGCAGCGAGGGCGGTGCAGCGGTGGCGGGAGGCAGGTAGAAGGCGAGCAGACGGTCCAGCGATACCCCCGCCGCCCAGCAGTCCACACTCACCGCCGATGGATCCGCCTCTGCCTGGTGCACACCATGGGGGAAGAGCAAAGGGAGAATGGGGGGGAGGGGTGCGAACGGGCAAGCAGGTGTGGGTGGACAGTGCTTGGCCCTGACGGCAAGACAGAATGCAGGCAAGACATTTAAGCACGCAGCTGCGGACACACCCACTCACCTGAGGACACACCCACAGCGTCCCCGCCCCTCGAATCTCCCCCCCTCCCACCGGCACCGCCCGCACCCCATGCAGCTCCGCCACCTGGTGTGTGGGGGGGAAGAAGGGGGGAGGAGGGGCATGGGAAGGGAAAGGGGGAGGGGAAGGGGAAGGGTGGAAAAGATGGGATGCGCACATGGTAGTCGTAATGAATGAAAGGGCGTTGCTTGCCACGATGGTCTCCCTTATGACTCAACTCCCAGCCATGCATCACAAGCAATGCAGCATGCGCAATGCACCCATGCCCCTGGCATCACTGACGCAGTCGTCGGTGTTGAACGTGAAGTTGGCCGTGGCCGCTGTGACGGGCACACGGTCATACGCCCCCACCGCCCCCTCCCCCCGCCACGCCTCCACCGCCACCGCTGCATCCGACCCCGCCACTGCAGCAACAGCTGCATCCACGTCAGCAGGATCTGCTGCCAGCTCAGCAGTGCCCTCAAAGATCGGCGCATCGAGAGGCCCGCGACAAAAGAGCAGTCCTTGCAGGCTCCCTGCCAGCTGGCAGAAGGTGATTGGGGAGAGAGGGTTGGAGCTATTGTGAGAATTAAAACAGATGCACTGCATGCCTCTTGCGGTTGTTTATTGAAGTATTTGAAAAAAAAAAATGTCTAACTACCATTGAACCTGGTGTGCGCGCAGACACACACATGCATGCAGCACATACAGGGTAAGGCAGGGGCTTGGCATTGAGTGTCTTCATGAGCAGATTCGCCTCCACTGGTTGAACCTGCGCTGTGATGCGGTACTGCCCGCCCGCGCCCTGGTTGAGGTCCATGTCCCCCGACGCCCTCAGTGGCACGTGGCCGTACCGCCCCTCCACCCCGTGCAGGAACAGCCGCTGCCCCTCCAGCACCACTGCCCCGCTCACTCCCTGCTCGCCCGCGGAGCACGTCGATGCACAGGCGGAGAGGGGATGGCACGGCAGAGAAGGGATGTGCGAAACAATCATGCGCTGAGGTACGGTGCAAAGGTTGTGGATGGTGTCAGTGTCCAGATGGTGTGTGAGTGTGTGGATGGTGTGAGTGTGAGTGGCCTTACAGTGAAGGCACAGGGGGACTCCCATATTTGGAAGGCGAGGTCTCTGATGTCCACCCTGCCCTTGAAGTTGGGGAACGAATCCCCCGCCCCCATCCACAGCTGCACCTGCTCCCTCTCCATCACAACCACCCCCGGGCCCCCAAAACACACACCGCAGGTGAACGCATGCGTGCGCACGTGGACACGAATGGCAGCACGACAGGGAATGAGCTCACGGGCATGGTGGCGACGGCAATGCAACATGACAAGTGATGGAAAGATGCTGGGGTGTGCTGCAAAAGAGCGAGGTCTCTAGCAGCAAGCGAAGCAGAAGGAGGCAGCAGCGATCAGCAGTGAGCAACAGAGAGCAGGCAGCCAGTTTATGAATGCCAATGTTGAGATGCTGTGAAGCAATGGAGAGAGCAGAGGCACTGACCTGCCCGTCTGCCCTCCCGCCGTACCAATCCAGTGGGATCTCCAGCAGCCGCTCCATCACCTGCCCTCCCCCCATGGCCGCGTACGTAGGCATGCAGTTGGTGAAGGGGAAGGGGAGGGGGAAGGGGAAGGGGAAGGGGAAGGGGAAGGGGAAGGGGAAGGGGAAGGGTGATACTGTGACATGAGAGACATGAGATGTAGGGAAGTGACAGCGGCAATTGCACAAGGACCATGGGAAGCATTGAACACGGAGCATATGCACCTGTTTCATACATGCGTGCATGGCGAGCCTGGCACATGAAACATGGCACTTGGAACATGACTGGCTGCTGGGCACGGCAGATGCAGGTGAGAACATGCAGCAACGCAGATGAGCACGCACAGGTGCAAAGAGGTTGTGTGCGGTGACAGTGACAGCCCACTCGTGCTTGTCCTCGTCCACATCCACTGCCACTCGCAGCAGCCCGCCTCCCCCCTCGCCTGCTCCCCCCTCTGCTCCCCCTTCCACCTCCTTCCGCCCTGCAGCTGCATCGCCAGGCATCATGTGGAAAGGCGTGGAGAAGCGCTTTCCCTTGCCGCTGCTGCCGGGGGGCTGGGGGGACGACGATGAGGAGGAGGAGGAAGAGGCAGTGGTGGTGGGCGAAGGGGTGGCATGCGAGGGGGCAGGCTGGAAGTTGCGGGGGGGGCGGAGGGAGCCGTGGGCGTCGACCTTGATGCGCTTGTAGGAGTGGGGCAGCGCGGGGAAGGTCACATGCGCATCTATGTGCTCCACCACCCTGCCATGCATGCATGCACACGCCACGCACAGGCACACAGGCACATGCGATGTACAAATGCATGCAGGTGTGCTCAGCAATGCGCATGCACAAGTGTAGATGCGTGTTGTGCACAGAAAAGGGCATTCACACACAAGGGTGGGTCACACATTGAGGCACATGCACATGCAGATGCACATGGGTGAACGGCATTGCAAAGAGGCACATCCCCCCATGACCCCCACGAGTCGCCCCTAACCTCATCGCATCTCACCGTGGCTCCTGGTCTCCATAAGCGAGGAGCATAAGGGTGCCGCCATGCACTCTCACTCCCTCCATGCATGGCACCAACCGCCCCGCACCTCCCCCTGCTGCCTCCTCGCCCTGCCTCCCTCCATCTCCCCCTCCTTCACCCCCCACTGCTGCTATTTGTGGTGCTGTAACCCCCTCCCCAGCTTCACGAGCACCCCTGCCCGTACTGACATGCGTGCCCTTCTCCCCCACCTCGCTGCCATCTCCTCTCCCTCCCTGCACCTCTGCCCCCCCTCGTCCGTGCGCTGGGTGCAGCTTGCGCAGCGCCCACTCGCGCGCACACACAGGCGCCGGCAACCCCCCTTTGACATGCGTGCTGGTGATGGCAGTGGCTGCAGGGGCTGTGGGGAGGAAGGGGGACGGAAGAGGGAAGGAGGAATTGGGGAAGGATAAGGAATGGGTCGAATTCGGATGGGTGGTGTGAGGGTTGGCAGCGAGCGATTGGGTTCCTTACCTCGGCAGCACTGTGAGGTGCCCGCTCCACCTGTACCGCCACCTCTGCCTGCTGCTGCCTCTGCTGCAAGTCCTCTGGCGATGCCTGGCCCTTGTGCTGCTGTGCCTGTGCCGGCTGCTGTTGCACGGGAGAAGCACGGCCAGCAGAAAGGGGAAGGTCCATGGCACGGTCAGTGGCGGCACCAGCAGTGAATGGGGCAAGCCCCCTGTCTGTAACCTCCTCCCTCCTTGCTGCTCCGCCCCACGCCCCCTGTGCCTCCACCACCTCTCTCGTTCCACTCCCTCTCAACCCCCCCTCGTGCTCCACGCCCACTCCTTTTCTCTCGCCCTGCTCCCCCACCTGCCCTGCCACCTGGCCGTCCACGAGCCCTCCCCCCACGTGGGCGGCCATGCGCTGGCGGATGGCGAGCGCCAGAGCATCTCTCAGCGCCGACTCGCTGCCCTCCCCCTCACCTGCGCCCCTGCTGCCCTCGGCCTCCCTCCCTCCGCCCGCTGCTGACGATGCATCCACGCTTCTTGCTTCACTTTTTCTACCTTCACTCTCTCTTCCACCAACTGCTGCAACTGTCCCTTCCGTGCTCATGCTACCATCTCCACCCCTCCTTAAAAGACCATCACTATTCACTCCCACACTCACACCCCCACTCTCCCTGTGCCCCGACCACCCCTCACCGCCCGCCATGTGACCTTCCTGCCCCTTGCCACTCTCACGTGCCACCCTCTCCCCTCCCACCATGACATCACCACTCCATCCCCGGCCCCCACTCCCTTCGCTCCCACTCCCCCCACTGTGCTGTGCAGGCATTGGGGCGGGGGCAGGGGGCGGGCGGGCGGGGGGCATGAGGTGGGGCGGGAGGGAGGAGAGGTGGGCCAGGGCCGCGGATGCGGACAGGGAGAGTAGCTGCTCCTGGGCAGAGACAGGGGGCGTGGGGGGTGCAGAGGGCGTTGAGGGCAGGGCAGTGGGGGTTGGAGCAGTGGCGGAGAGGGGGTGCTGGTCGTACCCCTGCCACCCCAGCGCCTCCACTGCTGCTCGCAGCACGTTGCTCACTGCCCTCTCCGCTGCCCGCTGCTGCTCCTCCACCCACTCCCACTCCACCCTCCGCCCACCCCCACCCACCTCCCTGCCCCCAACTACTCTCCCTTCCCCTTTTGCACCCGCCTCGCCCTCCCCTCCCCTCCCCCCCAGTCCCTGCGCCCCCTGCGCGCCCCCCTCCCCTCGGTACTCAATCTGTGCCCCTCGCAGCGCAAGCCTGTCCCTCTCCTCCGCTGCTGCCACCGAGGCTGCGTCCCGAGCCTGGCGTTGCAGGGAGGCTCGGGCGGAGAGGGGAGGGGCAGAGGAGGAGGGGGAGGCGGGGGCGTCGATGTCAGCGGGGATGCCGAGCCACGTCCAGTCGGGCTGCTGCGCCACCAGCACTGTGGCGCAACGCACCTGCGCCCCCACCACCACCCGCCGCTGCGCCACCGACGCCACCGGGTGCAGCTGCACCCACACACGGCAGGGAGGTAGATCGGGAGAGAGAAGGGAGAAGGGAAGGAGGGGCAGCGGGGGTAGATTGAGGGGCAGAGGCGTCTGTGCGGATGTATGTGTGCATGCAATGTGAGTTGTGCGGACACACATGCACACATGCAGCGTGCAGCACTGTGGCAGTCGGCACTCACCCGCACTTGCACGGCATCTGCATGGGCGCAGGAGAACTCAGAGGCAGCAGGGCCGATGGACACGGGCCCCACGCTCACAGCCCACGGCAGCAGCTGCTGCACGCGCCCCAGCGCCACCTGCCTGCCCGCCTGTGCGCTCACAGCCGCCTCCACCACGGGCAGCACGCGCGCCTGCACGTACTGCCGCGCCCTCTGCTGCGCGTACGCCCCCCCGCCCCACAGCAGCGCCGCTGCCAGCGCCCACGCCACCCGCCGCCACCCCACGCCGCGCTCGCGCCGCCGCCGCCGCCTCGTCGCCGCCAGGGGCGGGGTGGGGGTGGGGGTGGGGGGCGCTGCAGCCGCGGGGGATTGGGGGGGGGGGATTGGGGGGCGGGGGATGCTGCGGCTCCACGGCGGGGCGGGTCAGACGCAGTGGGGGCCTTTGGGGAGCGGGAAGAGGGGCCGGGGGAGGATTGGCGCGGAGGGGGCGGGGTGGGCGGAAGGGCAGGGGAGGCGCTTCCGTTGAGACTTTCTGGTGGCGTTGACGGCTTGCTGCCGCCGCTGCCACTCGACCTGCCTGACCTTCCGCCACCACCGCTGCCGCCGCCATTATTACCGCCCCCGCCGGTACTGCTTCCGCCGTCAGTGGGCCTCCCACCGCCTCCGCCACTGTCAGCGCCACCAGCGCCGCCAGAACTGCCAGCCCCCGCGCCAGCCGCCGGCCCCTCCGCGCTGCTGTCGCCGCCCCGCTTCACCCTCCCGCACACCACGCGCCCATCGCCTCTGCGCCCTCCGCCGCGGCCGTTGGGCGCAACGGCGGGGCGCGGAAGGAGGAGCGCGGAGTGGCGGGTGAAGGGGGAGGGCGCGAGTGGCGGAGTTGAGGTGCGCGCGGGAAGTGGGCGCGCGCTGGAGGAGCCTGAAAGCCACACGCTGCTGGCGCTGCTGAGACGGGCGGCGGAGGAGGCGGGGAAAGGAGCGAGAGACGCGCCGCTCGGCATGCGGCGCGGTGAGAGCGCCCCTAAACGGTTTAATTGGCGACTGGACTCTACGGGTCCAATTGCGCACCGCGCGCTTGCGTGGGCTGTGAAAGGAGCGCTGGCGGACACGCTCGGAATGGAGGGGGAAGGAGGGCGCAAGAGGGGCGCGGCGCGAGTAGGCAGCGTGGGCTGGCGGAGAAGAGGCGCCGCATGGGAGGCGCGGGGCGGCAGCGCGGCATGTGAGGGAGCGGGGACAGGGGCGCGCTGGGGTGGTGGGAGGGCGAGCGGGAGCGCGGCGGGCATAGTGGTAACATGCGGGCGCGCGAGGTGCGAGGCCGCAAGGGTGGAGATGCACACACACGGGCGCGGCAGCAATGGAAGCGCGGCAGGCACAGGGGGAAACTGTGATCAGGTCCGTCTGCCCTGTGCGCGGTTCGTTTGTGGGGCAATGAACTGAAGCTGTCTGTATTCAGATATCCCCGCTTGGAACGCTTTATTGGCAATCAATCAAAGGTCCTAGTTGCACACATTACTTTGAGTAGTGGGTTGAGCAACCAGGGCTATTCATTCAAGCCTTTCAGATACAAAACAAAACTGCACATGCAATCTAATGTTTAATCAGGTACCACCCAAGCACACAGGGTGTCCAAGCTCTAAGTGGTGCTTCTCTTTCACTACACTACAAGCGCCGGCATGGCCAAGGCAAGGGGACCGGCCAAAGAGTTTGCCGGCGCAACCATCAGGCCCTGCATTGCACACACAGCCTCATGACACATGGCGCAACAAGCCTGGAGACTCAAATGCGGTGCGCTGTGGTGTGGTGTGGTGCGGTCAGTCCCAGGCGAGGGCGAGCAGGGAGTTGGCAAGGCCGGCCTCGGCAATGGTGGTGGGCGAGGAGAGGTCGAGCGGAGCGGAGCCGGGCAGCGCCTGTGACAGACGGAAGGGCCTCCCCGCTGCCGCCCCTGGCACCTGCTGCCTACACCATGCCCTCAGCACCTGGGGGGGAGGGGAGTGGGGCGACGGAGAACAAGGGAGTGCGTGGGAGAGCAAGGGAATGAGCATGGCAGGAAGGACAGTGCACAGGCGTGGGATGGGTGGCAAGCAGGTGGTTTTGAAGGATGGGGACAGCACCTGGAGAGAGTGCGAGGAGAGGAACCGACGCTGCAGCCGACTGCCATCCGGGCAGCGAATGGCAATGCGACAGCTGGCAGGAGTGCCCACTGCAGGCTCCTCTGGTAACTCAACCTCCTCTTCTGCTGCCCCTCCTGCCAACGCCCCCTGCTGCTCCTGCTCCCCTTCTGCCGCATGCAAGATGTCATCCCTGCCTGCCCCTACGGCCCCACCCTGCTCCCTCCCCTCTGCCTCGCCTCTCCGTCCCTCTGTATCCTCCCCTCTTTCCTCTGTGTGTCCCTCCAGGGAAGCGGCCAGCGCCAGGCGCAGCTGTTCCTCCTCGTCCTCCTCGCCGCTCCCCACTGCCCCCGCGCCCTCCGCTTCCCCTTCCCCTCCCGTGGGCACATCCCGCAGCTTCTTGGGCGGCCGCACCTCCCCACCCGCCCCAGGTGCGCCCCCCACGGGGCCACGGTCGATGAATGGCATCAGGTCCTGCCCGCCATGCACCGCACACACGCACGCAGACGCACACACACATGCACGCAGGCACGCAGGCAGAAAGACACGCACACAGCACAAACACAGGCAGGCGTGCAGGCAGGCAAAGAAGCAGAGAAGGGTCCCACAAGATAAGTGAGGAAGAATCTGAGGGAGGATATGAAGAGCAGAGAGGCAGATTTGTGGCCAGGCAATGCAAAGCCAGCACCCTCACCTCTTCTCTCCCCCCACCCCAAACCCCGTTCGTCCCCCACTCCCCTCCCCTCCCCTCCCCTCCCCCACCTCGAGCAGCTGGTCAGCAGAGAGCGCGCCCTGCCAGCAGCGCTTGCGCCGGCCCGTGGAGGGGTGCAGCACCATCACCACGGGCAGCGCCTCCACCCCGTAGTACCCACACACCTTCGCCCCCTCCGCTGCCGCCGCATCCACCTGCCTCGCCTCCCTCACCCACACGCAAGCCGCAAGGAGAGGGCGGAGGGAGCAGGGGGATTACAGAGAGCGGAGGCAGTCAGTGGGGGGCGGACACGGCATGGGTGGTGCGGTGAGACGCGCGAGGTGCGGCACGTGGTGCGTGTGAGTGCCGCGACAGGGGATGGGCGGATCATGTGCCCCTCACACAATGACCTGGCAGAACCACGTGCCATGACCACATGGGAGATGCACCACGTCACAAGGAGGCACGGGAGGAGTGAGAAGGGGAGGGGGAGCACCTGCCAGAGGAGGAAGTAGGTGGAGATGGTTTCCTTGACAGCTGGCACGGCCCAGACGTCCCGGTTGAGCATGTGTGACGCGAACTCCCCCGTCGACTGCACGTTCACCAACAGCCACTTGCCCTCCGCCCCCGCCCGCTGCTTCGCCTGCACACTCTCATTAACCAATGCACCCATGCACCCGTACATCCATGCACTCACGGGACACCACCGGGACGGCTGAGTTTGGTGCACGCATTGCAGTGGGCAGGAGCAGCGGCAGGAGCAACAGCAGCAGGCACGATTGACAGCAGAGGGAATGTGAACAAAGCGGTGCAGAGCATGTGGGCGCATGGGGACGTGCAAGTGCCTCGTGGGGCCATCCCCCTGCCTCTGCCCACCTGGTCAAAGGAGCCAGCAAACAGGATGTCATAGGGCGGCTCAAACAGCGATGCCAGCGACGCCTGCCGTGCTGCCCCCCCCTCGCCGCCCTGCTGCCCCTCTCCCCGCGCCCGCGCCCTCGTGCCCGCCTCACTGCCAAAGTCCCGAAACCCATCCACCACCACCGGCGCTGTGGGCCCCCCAGGCGCCCTCCCAGCCACACTGGGGAGCGGAGGGCCAGCGGCGAGGGCGAGGGGGGAGACGGGAGGGGGGATGGGGGAGGGGGAGACGGTGGAGAAATTGCAGGATGTTATGGATGAGAAAGGACGAGGAGGAGGAGGCAGCGCAGGGAGCAAGGCGAGACAACACAGCATGGAAGTGTGCACCACTGCATGGACAGCACCGCACAGCTCAGTGCAGGTGACGGGAAAAGCGAGCAGGGAGAGAGCAGCGCACGCACCCAGCGGAGGGGCGGTTGAGCGCGTATGCATCGCCATACAGCGCCTCCCGCCTCACTGGCAGCGGCGCCCGCACCACCTCCTCCCCACCCCCCATGCTGCCGCCCATCCCCCCTCCTCCTGCTGCTCCTGCTGCTGCTGCTGGCGGGGGTGGCGGGGATGAGGAGCGAGGCGGGGAAGTGGCGTCACGTGACCTGGCGGATGTACGGGTGGGGGGGTGTAGGGGTGAGGAAATGCACGGGTGAGGGGATGCATGGGTGAGGGGATGCATGGGTGAAGGGATGCATGGGTGAGGGGATGCATGGGTGAGGGGATGCATGGGTGAGGGGATGCATGGGTGAGGGGATGCATGGGTGAGGGGATGCATGGGTGAGGGGATGCATGGGTGAGGGGATGCACGGGTGAGGGGATGCACGGGTGAGGGGATGCACGGGTGAGGGGATGCACGGGTGAGGGGATGCATGGGTGAGGGGATGCATGGGTGAGGGGATGCATGGGTGAGGGGATGCATGGGTGAGGGGATGCATGGGTGAGGGGATGCATGGGTGAGGGGATGCATGGGTGAGGGGATGCATGGGTGAGGGGATGCATGGGTGAGGGGATGCATGGGTGAGGGGATGCATGGGTGAGGGGATGCATGGTTGAGGGGATGCATGGGTGAGGGGATGCATGGGTGAGGGGATGCATGGGTGAGGGGATGCATGGGTGAGGGGATGCATGGGTGAGGGGATGCAGGGGTGAGGGGATGCAGGGGTGAGGGGATGCAGGGGTGAGGGGATGCATGGGTGAGGGGATGCACGGGTGAGGGGATGCACGGGTGAGGGGATGCATGGGTGAGGGGATGCATGGGTGAGGGGATGCATGGGTGAGGGGATGCATGGGTGAGGGGATGCATGGGTGAGGGGATGCATGGGTGAGGGGATGCATGGGTGAGGGGATGCACGGGTGAGGGGATGCACGGGTGAGGGGATGCACGGGTGAGGGGATGCACGGGTGAGGGGATGCACGGGTGACGGGATGCACGGGTGAGGGGATGCAGGGGTGAGGGGATGCACGGGTGAGGGGATGCACGGGTGAGGGGATGCACGGGTGAGGGGATGCACGGGTGAGGGGATGCATGGGTGAGGGGATGCATGGGTGAGGGGATGCATGGGTGAGGGGATGCATGGGTGAGGGGATGCATGGGTGAGGGGATGCATGGGTGAGGGGATGCATGGGTGAGGGGATGCATGGGTGAGGAGATGCATGGGCGAGGGGATGCATGGGCGAGGGGATGCATGGGTGAGGGGATGCACGGGTGAGGGAATGCACGGGTGAGGGGATGCATGGGTGAGGGGATGCATGGGTGAGGGGATGCATGGGTGAGGGGATGCATGGGTGAGGGGATGCATGGGTGAGGGGATGCATGGGTGAGGGGATGCATGGGTGAGGGGATGCATGGGTGAGGGGATGCATGGGTGAGGGGATGCATGGGTGAGGGGATGCATGGGTGAGGGGATGCATGGGTGAGGGGATGCATGGGTGAGGGGATGCATGGGTGAGGGGATGCATGGGTGAGGGGATGCATGGGTGAGGGGATGCATGGGTGAGGGGATGCATGGGTGAGGGGATGCATGGGTGAGGGGATGCATGGGTGAGGGGATGCATGGGTGAGGGGATGCATGGGTGAGGGGATGCACGGGTGAGGGGATGCACGGGTGAGGGGATGCACGGGTGAGGGGATGCATGGGTGAGGGGATGCACGGGTGAGGGGATGCATGGGTGAGGGGATGCATGGGTGAGGGGATGCATGGGTGAGGGGATGCATGGGTGAGGGGATGCATGGGTGAGGGGATGCATGGGTGAGGGGATGCATGGGTGAGGGGATGCATGGGTGAGGGGATGCACGGGTGAGGGGATGCACGGGTGAGGGGATGCATGGGTGAGGGGATGCATGGGTGAGGGGATGCATGGGTGAGGGGATGCATGGGTGAGGGGATGCATGGGTGAGGGGATGCATGGGTGAGGGGATGCATGGGTGAGGGGATGCATGGGTGAGGGGATGCATGGGTGAGGGGATGCATGGGTGAGGGGATGCATGGGTGAGGGGATGCATGGGTGAGGGGCTGCATGGGTGAGGGGCTGCATGGGTGAGGGGATGCACGGGTGAGGGGATGCACGGGTGAGGGGATGCATGGGTGAGGGGATGCATGGGTGAGGGGATGCATGGGTGAGGGGATGCATGGGTGAGGGGATGCATGGGTGAGGGGATGCATGGGTGAGGGGATGCATGGGTGAGGGGATGCAGGGGTGAGGGGATGCAGGGGTGAGGGGATGCACGGGTGAGGGGATGCACGGGTGAGGGGATGCACGGGTGAGGGGATGCACGGGTGAGGGGATGCATGGGTGAGGGGATGCAGGGGTGAGGGGATGCATGGGTGAGGGGATGCACGGGTGAGGGGATGAATGGGTGAGGGGATGCATGGGTGAGGGGATGCATGGGTGAGGGGATGCATGGGTGAGGGGATGCATGGGTGAGGGGATGCATGGGTGAGGGGATGCATGGGTGAGGGGATGCATGGGTGAGGGGATGCATGGGCGAGGGGATGCATGGGCGAGGGGATGCATGGGCGAGGGGATGCATGGGCGAGGGGATGCATGGGTGAGGGGATGCATGGGTGAGGGGATGCATGGGTGAGGGGATGCATGGGTGAGGGGATGCATGGGTGAGGGGATGCATGGGTGAGGGGATGCATGGGTGAGGGGATGCATGGGTGAGGGGATGCATGGGTGAGGGGATGCATGGGTGAGGGGATGCATGGGTGAGGGGATGCATGGGTGAGGGGATGCATGGGTGAGGGGATGCATGGGTGAGGGGATGCATGGGTGAAAGGATGCATGGGTGAGGGGATGCATGGGTGAGGGGATGCATGGGTGAGGGGATGCATGGGTGAGGGGATGCATGGGTGAGGGGATGCACGGGTGAGGGGATGCACGGGTGAGGGGATGCACGGGTGAGGGGATGCACGGGTGAGGGGATGCACGGGTGAGGGGATGCACGGGTGAGGGGATGCACGGGTGAGGGGATGCATGGGTGAGGGGATGCATGGGTGAGGGGATGCATGGGTGAGGGGATGCATGGGTGAGGGGATGCACGGGTGAGGGGATGCACGGGTGAGGGGATGCACGGGTGAGGGGATGCATGGGTGAGGGGATGCACGGGTGAGGGGATGCACGGGTGAGGGGATGCACGGGTGAGGGGATGCACGGGTGAGGGGATGCACGGGTGAGGGGATGCACGGGTGAGGGGATGCACGGGTGAGGGGATGCGTGGGTGAGGGGATGCGTGGGTGAGGGGATGCATGGGTGAGGGGATGCATGGGTGAGGGGATGCATGGGTGAGGGGATGCATGGGTGAGGGGATGCATGGGTGAGGGGATGCATGGTGAGGGGATGCATGGGTGAGGGGATGCATGGGTGAGGGGATGCATGGGTGAGGGGATGCATGGGTGAGGGGATGCATGGGTGAGGGGATGCATGGGTGAGGGGATGCAGGGTGAGGGGATGCAGGGGTGAGGGGATGCAGGGGTGAGGGGATGCACGGGTGAGGGGATGCACGGGTGAGGGGATGCACGGGTGAGGGGATGCATGGGTGAGGGGATGCATGGGTGAGGGGATGCATGGGTGAGGGGATGCATGGGTGAGGGGATGCATGGGTGAGGGGATGCATGGGTGAGGGGATGCATGGGTGAGGGGATGCACGGGTGAGGGGATGCACGGGTGAGGGGATGCACGGGTGAGGGGATGCACGGGTGAGGGGATGCACGGGTGAGGGGATGCACGGGTGAGGGGATGCACGGGTGAGGGGATGCATGGGTGAGGGGATGCATGGGTGAGGGGATGCATGGGTGAGGGGATGCATGGGTGAGGGGATGCATGGGTGAGGGGATGCATGGGTGAGGGGATGCATGGGTGAGGGGATGCATGGGCGAGGGGATGCATGGGCGAGGGGATGCATGGGTGAGGGGATGCACGGGTGAGGGGATGCACGGGTGAGGGGATGCATGGGTGAGGGGATGCATGGGTGAGGGGATGCATGGGTGAGGGGATGCATGGGTGAGGGGATGCATGGGTGAGGGGATGCATGGGTGAGGGGATGCATGGGTGAGGGGATGCATGGGTGAGGGGATGCATGGGTGAGGGGATGCATGGGTGAGGGGATGCATGGGTGAGGGGATGCATGGGTGAGGGGATGCATGGGTGAGGGGATGCATGGGTGAGGGGATGCATGGGTGAGGGGATGCATGGGTGAGGGGATGCATGGGTGAGGGGATGCATGGGTGAGGGGATGCATGGGTGAGGGGATGCATGGGTGAGGGGATGCATGGGTGAGGGGATGCATGGGTGAGGGGATGCATGGGTGAGGGGATGCACGGGTGAGGGGATGCACGGGTGAGGGGATGCACGGGTGAGGGGATGCATGGGTGAGGGGATGCACGGGTGAGGGGATGCATGGGTGAGGGGATGCATGGGTGAGGGGATGCATGGGTGAGGGGATGCATGGGTGAGGGGATGCATGGGTGAGGGGATGCATGGGTGAGGGGATGCATGGGTGAGGGGATGCATGGGTGAGGGGATGCACGGGTGAGGGGATGCACGGGTGAGGGGATGCATGGGTGAGGGGATGCATGGGTGAGGGGATGCATGGGTGAGGGGATGCATGGGTGAGGGGATGCATGGGTGAGGGGATGCATGGGTGAGGGGATGCATGGGTGAGGGGATGCATGGGTGAGGGGATGCATGGGTGAGGGGATGCATGGGTGAGGGGATGCATGGGTGAGGGGATGCATGGGTGAGGGGATGCATGGGTGAGGGGATGCATGGGTGAGGGGATGCACGGGTGAGGGGATGCACGGGTGAGGGGATGCATGGGTGAGGGGATGCATGGGTGAGGGGATGCATGGGTGAGGGGATGCATGGGTGAGGGGATGCATGGGTGAGGGGATGCATGGGTGAGGGGATGCATGGGTGAGGGGATGCAGGGTGAGGGGATGCAGGGG